ATGTGTGCAACGGCAAAACCACCTAATCCAGGACCCTCCATCACTGACTGGGTATAGTGTTTTAAAAAATAGTTTTATGTTATCTACAACAAAGTATTTGACTCTGTGTCTTTAAGGATTGTAATTGATTAAAACATAGAGTTATTTACTTCATGTGTTTATGAAAGCTCATATGTTTTTTGTTTACAGATCCAGTGTGATAACCGCTGGTTCCATTCTGAATGCCTGGACAAATGAACAGCTCAGCAGTGCTCAGAGTGGAAGTGTGTGCTTTGTGTAACCTGATTCCACCTGCAGTGAAAGCTACTTGAATAATCTGCTTATAGTTGTTGTTTCTGTTTTGAGGAACACACGTGTAAAACACAATGTGTATAACATTCTTGCTTTGAGCACTTTAAGTATTTCCTTTTTGATTTTTTGGGTTGATTTGTGTGATGACAGATAAGGTTCAGCAGAGTAAACACAGTCAGGGTCTTCCAGTCAGAGGTCAGATCCTCGGGTCGTTGCTGGGTGATGCAGATGATTGCTGAAGGTCAGCTGCTGGATGTCTCACAGCAGCAGATGACAGTCTGGCTGTATTCGTGCAGGGAGACGCGTCCGTCTGCAGACACAGAGCTGCTGAAGTCTTTTTCAGGCTTTTATTCAACAATTATTATTTTTTTATTTCTAACATTTCTCATAACCCTTAATGTTATTCATGTAATATTACTTAATTTATTTATTTGATTTCTGACTAAACACAATGTGTCCAACGTTTAGAATAAATAACGCGCTCAGGTACAAATTTAATGAAAACTTCATATTTTTCATTTTCAGTTATTTGGATGCGACTGTAGCGTCAGGATTGGAAGAAACACACACAGCAGCCACGAGGGGGCAGTAGTGTGTAGCTGCCTGTGCTCCTCCATCAGTGAACCAACCGAGTCGTCAGGATAACAGCTGCATTACCAGGAGTCGGAGAGAAGCGGCGTCCTCCATCGCTGTAGGGGGGGGGGGTTACACCCAGCAGTTTACTCAAACATATTTTGGGAAAATTCCACCTCCCTGCTCGGCCCATAAATCACACACACACACACACACACACACACACACACAGCGACACATCAAGAAGAAACCGTTTCTTTATGGCTGCTGTGGCATCAACCTGACAACAGATTTGATTTCATTATTTATAGTTTCTGAAATCTCTTGAATGGTTTGCTTATTAAAATAAAAATTTACAAAAATCATTTTTAACTTTTATAATTTCAGTATTTTACTTTGTAATTGACTTTTTTTAATTATTAATCACATTCCCTGTTAATAATTATTATTAGATCACAATTAAGGCGGTTTTTTAAATTCTAATATTTATTCATGGTGTTTTATTTAAATCTTTTTAATATTGTTTTGAAAAATATTTTAATTATAATTTATTCATTTTAAATGTTTAAAATATTTTCTTTTTTATTTCAAACATATTTTTAAAACAATCAGTCTATTAATATGTAATTTTATTTACAGGTTAATTCTTTTTTAACACAAGAAAAATCAATTCTGCGTTCATCACATTATTACAGGAGCTGATTTATTAACAGTGCTTTGTCTCAGTTGGACGCTCCGTCCATGTGACCTGATGATGTCACTGGTGTGACATCACATGACCTACGTATGACCTGCAAACTTCCTGTTAACTGCATTCATTTAAAACTTTTCCTGGTCATCAACCCGTCAGCGAGCACCTGCATCCACTTCGCTCTCTGCGCAGCGCTGCCACCTGGTGGTGAAACACGGCAGCGCACAGACAGTTTCAGGTGCTTCTGGTTTATTTCCGGCTACAGGTGCGTGACGCCAAAATGAGCACCGCATAGATCATTACATATCACATGAAAAACATATTTACAAATATAAATTAACACATATTTCACCTCCAAAAGACACGGCGATGGTTTCAAATGGTACAAAACTGCTAAATATATATATGTACATATATAGAAGTGATTATGGGATGTCTCATGAGCTTATACTGCACGTAGTGCAAGAAACACTGTCGATACCACACTGAGAACGAGACACATTCGTAAGAGCTTTGGTCCAGAGAGAACTGAAAGACGACGGATGGAGGAAACTTTTAAACATGCTGCCCTGGAAGAAGCCGCGTACGTCCAACAAACACAAACATCCTACTGGAGCTAATCCTGCCAGCGGCGGGCCAACAGTCCTGCTGTGAGGGGGAACCTGAGGCGCTGTCTACGTCCACCTGTGCGTCCAGACCCCGTTTAGACACCGATCAGAGCTGCAGAGGAGGCGAGCACACAAAGCCTCCTGGAGGACCCAGAATAGTCGGACTGTGCTGGAAGCGGCGTAGCACCAAAACGCATCCGAGACGCGACCCGAGACGCTTCAGCGATGTGAGAAAAACCGAGCGGACGGTTTCCATCATCTTTTATTGGGCGACTGAACAAAAAGTATTTTCGGACGAGAAACAAACCAACTCATAGGGGCGTGGTTTCACGTCGCGCCAAGCGACCGCCGACACCTCGGAGCCGCTGTGACAGTCCGAGGGTCAGTGACAGCAGCTGTGGATGTGGGCGGCGTGTCGCGCAGAAACAATCGGATCAATAATTCTGTCTTTCAGGGTTTTTTGGCTGGTCTGTGTGGAAGCTTGAGCTGATCAGGAAGCTCCGAGGAGGACGTCACTTCCTTTTTAAGCAGAGGGTGCAGAAGCCTGCGCCAACCTTCTAGCCAATGAAATCAATGTGTTGATGTCATCCTCGTCATATTTACGACATCATCAAAGCCTCATCCTGACTTTGGTTTGGTCTCAGCTGCGTTGGGCCTGACCTACGTTCATACCTGAACACCTTCCTGACAAACACCTGACGCTCTGTGTTTAAGACAGAGAAACCAGAGGTGAGCCGGAGTGTTTATATGCAGACAATGAGCCGCTGTTTGTTTGCTCGCCCTGAGCGTGCTCAGTACGAAACTTTAAACTGCGAGGACGACCCTGCAGGAACACACAGACTTTCCCTCCATGATGGCAGCAATCAGCTGTTCATTAGTGTGGAGTCAAACTGTGCTGCAAATCTTTTTAGAACTTTGTAAAGAAATGTTGTGTTTGTGCATCTATAGATGAGACTTTGTGTGTCTAAAAGTATTTACACAGGTTACACATTTTTTTGTTAAGGTTGCAGATCCGGAGCGTAAACCTCTCGCTCCCTCACTCTGTCACTTTCATCTTACAGGTACAAATTTTGACCCAATTTTTCTTCCTTTCAGCTGATTGGTCAATGTGTGAATCACAAATGTAACAATCCAATCAGAGAACAGATGGTTTGGCTGTCAGAGTGCAGCTTGACTGAGCTTCAGGTCCTGGAAGGGTGATACATTTTAAAGGTGGAGGACAAATTCTCATCTTTAGATACAAAAACGTTTTCACATAGTTTAGTTTAAAACTGTGTTTGTCGATCAGACGACTCAATATTTCTGAGCTTAATCTGAGCCCCGACATTAGCGCCCCCTCCTGGCAGCCGTAGAGTATTATACCTCAGAGGAAGGGAACATTTTGTTATATCGACTTTGTTTAATACATTTTCCGTCCTAACAGGAAGGTAGGAAGGTCTAAAAAGGTATGAAAGTCGCCTGACCTCTGACCCTGTGAAGGTGACCTGTTTGCGGGTTAAAGGTCGGCGGACTGCAGCCTGATCACAGGTGTGAACGGGGTCTGAACGTCAGGGTTCCTACTGCCGACTGTGAGGAGCTTCCTGCTCGATCTCTCCACCGTGTTTTTGTGTCTTGGAACCGAAGCGTCGCCTGGAGGCGCCGGGAATGACTGAGTGTTGGATTTCCAGAGAGGTGTAGGAACCCTGAGCTGTTTTGGGAGGCGAGCGGACGCCGGCTCAGTGGTTCCGGGAGCTGAAGAAGCCCACGCTGGTTGGCGACTCCTTCACCGTCACCGTGATGAAGTTGGCTGTGACGTCTGTGACGAACACGTGTTCCAGGAGGCTCCGCGCCGGCCTCCAGTCCGTCTCCGTGTCAGAGTCGGTGGCGTTGTTGCCGCGGCTGGGTCTGCTGTTGCTAGGAAACAGAGCGTCTTCCGTCTCTGACTCGCTGGTGCTAGTCTCGTCGGAGTCGCCGGTGCTGAGCTCGTTCAGGTTCCTGTTCTGAGAGCCGAGCGCGTGTTTACGGCCGTCCTGCCTCACGCCACTACTCCCTCGAGCAGCGCCACCACCCGTCAGTTTGTCCTTGCCCTGCTCTGGAGCTCCGCCTCCAGCGCGAGCATCTTTCGCTCCTCCTTTTACGACCATCCCACTGCCACTACTCCGTGGGTTCGCTCTCGCTACCGCCACCCCGCTAGCGTTGCTTCCTTGAAGGCCGCTCGTGGGCGGCAGTTTGCCGACGCTCTGCAGGTTAAGGGCGCGGAGGCTCAGCGCCTGGCTGGCTCTGTCTCGGGGCGACGGCGATGCTGACGATGGCGGTTTGGACAAACTCGTGCTCAGATGCTTGTGTGGAGCCACCCCGCTCTGACCACCGCTGCCATCCTGCCTCCTCTGAGCCAGCAGGGGGCGCTGCACCACTGCGCCTCCTCCAAAGCTGCTGTGCAGTCCCAGCGACCCAGAGGCTCCGCCCTGCTTCAGAGGCGTCACCTTAAAGCCGTCCCCTCTGCCGATCTCCGGGACGTTGCGCTTCAGCTCTGACAGAGAGTTCTTATTCTGTGCGGTGGGCGTGGCTTTGTTTTGGGAGGTGGAGCCGGAGGACAGGGAGGAGGTTGCGAGCGAGCGATTGGTCCAAATGCAGCCGAGCCCACCGGGTTTGGAGGCCTGGGAGAAGGAGGCGGAGGAGGTCTGGGAGGCGGAGCCGGCCTCCTCTCTGGAGCTCCGGCTCAGGCCGGTGTAGGTGAAGCTGGCCGGCTGTAGCGGCTTCTTCACGCTGGCCCGCGGCTCGTCTCTGGGCAGCTGGTGGTGGCGTGGACCGGGTGGAGACGGCGGCGGGGGAGGGCGGCTCTTTGCCTGCCTCAGAGCCCTCAGGTCGGGGTGCAGCGGCTTCCTCCCTCGCTTCTTCTTTCGGGGGGTGTCGGGTTTGGCGAGCAGGATCTGAGGCCTCTTCTGAGGGACGGGGTGGACGCGGGGGGCGGGCTTCACCTTCTTTGTGTGCTCTTCATCCTCTGAGGAAGACGAGGAGGCGGTTGATGACAGGCCAGAGGAAGAGGAGGACGAGGAGCGGTCGTCCTTCGTGACGGTGGGCGCCGGCTGCAGAACACAAACAGAACGGGATGAGCAAGAGGGGTCAGAGGTCATGAGACAGAATCAGGAGGCGGGGTCGGCGTGTTTCACCTGAATCTTTCGAGGTCGTCCTCTCGGCCTCTTTCCCTTCTTCTGAAACAGAAGCTCGCGCTCCTGCTCTCTGGAACAGATCGAGACAAACTTTATTTAAACACGCAGACAGGAAGTGCAAACATTCAACACGTCGTCTTTTGTAAAAACAAGCGTGAACTGACGCGCGTCACATTTGACAAACATCTGTCAGTTTGTTCTTTGATTCTGCTGCTTGTTTCCAGTCATTAAAATCACAAATATGAAATAGTTACATGTTTATATATTTATATTCAGTCAGAGGGGGAGGGGCCACAGACCTGGGCGCCTGCTCACCCATCGATATGAAATTACATATCGAATATATATTTATTACATGTCCACATAATATAATTATTAAATTGTAATTTTATTATTAAATACATTCAATATACATCATTCTCTTATAATATTTGTTATTATTACTATTAGTGTTTAATACATATTAATTCTTTTATATATTATTTACATATATTTCTGTTTGAATACTAGAATAATAATTTATTAACATATAATATGTAACATATTTAAAATACATAACATATAATAACATCCATCCATCTGCTTCTCCTTATCAGGGGCGCTGGAGCCTATCCCAGCTGTCATAGGGCGAGAGGCGGGGTCCACCCTGGACAGGTCGCCAGTCTGTCGCAGGGCCAACACACAGACAACCAATCGCTCTCACGTTCACACCTATGGGCAATTTGGATTAATCAATTAACCTGTCCCCAATAACTGCATATCTTTGGACTGTGGGAGGAAGCCGGAGTACCCGGGGAGAAC